GCCTGCCACATAACCAGTGTACAGTGAATAGTTGTTCAATGAATGGATGAATGAATGAGATTGCTGGGTCAAAGAATACAACATTTTTATGGCTGTTAATAACTACACTGAATCCCATAAGGACTGAGCCAAGGTACAAAGGCATGTGGCCACAAATAACCCAGCTCAGCTCCCAAATGCTAAAATCCTTATGTTACCCTTAAAAGCTGTTTAGTGTATATTTTCGGCTATCACTACCATGCTGGTACAGTCTTCCTACCATAAATGAAAATTTGAGAATCATACACTAACAAATACTGGATGTCAGCCAGGCAGACTTTTGGAGGATTCATTTCTGAAAGACTGTTCCCAACTTAAATGTGGACAGAAAATTCTATATTATTCATCTTAGAAAATAATCCACTTCCTACAAGTAAAAGGAGGCAAATTCACCTTGGATAGTTTGAGGATCTGGGAATATTTCCCTTCCATTTCTCCACTGTAGTCTTTAGGATGAGTAATCAGCTGCCAGTCGTAGGTGTAGGTTTCTCCTATAGAAGGGCAGTTACAAAAATCATGAAAACACACACCTACACACAAAGAAGATAGCCACATAGCCTGCCAATAACAAATCTCTTCTAAATCTTGATAAGGCCTTAGTTTTCAAGATTTCACCCCAAAGTCTGCAGGGAAACCAAACCATCTGCTAAAAGAAAGAGTGGCGTCTGCTGACTCAGCTATAAGTTAGAGCTTCTTCCAACTTTCTCTCAACAATGCTCATTCCTGCCCCATATCCCCAGGGGCAACCCTCCCTAAAAAATACCAGGTTGCTCCTGGTGTGGCATACCACTGAAAATACATGCCCTACCAACCACTACAGATGAACTCATTGGGAACAAAGGCCATTTTCTTGCAAAACTTCTTTTGCAACAAAGAACAGCAATGACTTCTAAATAACATGGTTCAAAAATAGCTTTTTACAGAGTGCTAACAATGCTCCTCTCACTGAGGTCATCACACCCTGGTGAGTTAAAAGAGCTACTTCATTCCTGCTGAGCTAAATAACATGCTCAGAAGATGGTAGGGGATGGCCCATTTAAAACAGGCCCCACTGAAATTAATTAAGATCAAATGAAGCATTAAATGGTCCTCATTTGCAGCTCAGACTGTATCACTGGGTAGGGCAAAAGTAGAATCCTATTATTGAAATGGAATCCCCTCCCCAGTAAAAGGGGTCTTAAATTTTTTTTGGCACAAAATGCATTTTGGCTAGGAAAGGGTGGGATTTGGTAGGAAAGTTTAGTTTAAATTACTACTCAAAAGTAAAAAAGAAAAAGAAAAGAAACTTCAAATGCTTAGCAGAGAGCAGTCATCTTTTTCTTATTTAATGAGTTCAAATGTTAAAGTTAGCACAGAGAACCTAACCAAGTTATCCTTCATCTGAAGACCAGATTCTATTTTATAAGCCTGGGACATAAGATCTTCCTTCTTTCCTTCCTCCCCCCTGCCCCCCGCCAAAATTAGTATTGTTTTGGCCAGCTGTAAGCACCAGCAGCTCTCACAGATGTGTAGAGCACGTACAAGTTAGGTTAGGGGAAGAGCAGGAAAGAAGCAGCAAAAGTAGGATTCAAGCTAAGAGACATTTCTTCTAACTATAGTTAGAAATTTTCTTCCACATAGAAAACAGACTCACAGTAGTCCAGGAACTGACAATTTTATAATATCTAAGGCTAATAACACAAAGTTCAAAAAGGACAATATTCCTAGGACAGAAAACAACTATGCCTTACAGGCAGAAATTTGCCTGAGGACGGGAACTACTGAGAATAGGTCTGTCAGAATGCTGGCTGTAGTCATTTAGGGCAGTGGTTCTGAGAGGGGACTTTCAAACCCTATAAGGGACCCTGATGGGTTGCCCCAGGTGGGGGTAGGGATGAAGAGCATGCAGAGTTGGTCCTGCATCATTGCCCCCAACCTTGGAAAGTTTGAAACCATCTATCTCATATATCTGATAAGGGCTGGAGGACCTGGGGAGAGCAGAGTTGAAAAGAATCTGTTTTTGAACTGATGTTGGAATATTGGTGTACGTGATGATAGTAAGTCACAGAAATGCACATGCAAATATGGGTTAGGAAAGAAAATACAGTAGAGCCAAGCGT